ATCATTTTTAGACTGTTTCCCACCACACTGCTGTTTGTGCATCATATGCTTGCCAGAGATGAACAGTTGGATTATAATGCATAGTATGCATCTTGCTCCATGTCTTCATGCTGCAGAGGTGGGAAATCACTGCACAATTTGCCTTCTCAGGTGGCCACCACAGGAATCAAGTAAATAATGTGACTTGCAGTTTCCTGCACGCCGTTTGGCAGGGATTGCATGCAGAATCTCAGATTCGCAGACATCAGGAAAATGCAGAAAAACCTTAAGCTTCATTTGTAAAGTTCAAATTACAAAATCCTTCATTCTGATAAAAAATGTGTCTTGGGACACAGCACTGATGACAAATCCTTGCAAAATTCAACATTCTTTTGTTCAGAATTTTGAAAGCACTATAATGCCTGGGAGCTGAGCCTGAAAAAGTATTCCCAGCCTTACCCTAGACTTGTTGAAGTGAATTTTCCATTAACTTCTGATATGTTTCCTCTTTGCAAAGTGAACATGGTTCCCATCATCATTCAAGGATACTTGGGACAAGAACTGAGGGAAATACTTAGTCCATTTACAGGACACCAACTGCAACCACTGCCCCTTATAACTGGAGAAAGGTCCAAGGACAGTAATAACAATGGGTTGATAGTTGGACTAGATGATCTCAGTGGTCTTTTCCAACCTGAATGATTTTGTGATTCTCTGTTTCAGGGACTATCAATTATCTGCATTTTTTTTTTAATCTTTCCTACAGTAGCACAAATTCCCTAGGGTATTTTTTGTTGCTTTTTGTTGCTATTGCTTTGTCTCCACAGCTTGTTTGTTTCCAGCCTCAATGTTTCATGTTAATGGGTTAATAGTAGGTAGAAGGATCAGTGCAACCACTGATTTGCCCTTGGGAAATCTACTGACCTGGCTTCTTGGTCAAACACATTGCTTAAGAGCATTAATTGTCATAACTTATTGTCACCTGATATAGTATCAGAATCACAGAATCATTAAGGTTGGGAAAGACCACTAAGATCATTTAGTCCAACCATAAGTGATCAAATGGGAATTTCCAGATACTTTTTGTTTATACATATAATGCTACCATTTCCCACAATAGCTCTACAGTTCATTTGCTCAGAGCAAGTTCCTACAACCCATGGGGTGCCGGGGCTCAGGGCATGCAAGCACTGCCTGATACAGGCAGTTTCGTGGCATAAAGGCAGGGCACTGCACAGGCACAGGAATTTGATGACAAACAGCTCCTATTAACAAGGTTCAAAAGGGCCAGGGTTGGGCGTCCCTGCCCCTCCAGTACCACACGTACGCAACATTCCTTCTGTTCATGGGAGCCAGCACCCTTAACTGCATTTCCTTTCAGTCCCCAGAACGGCTCCTGCCTCGTTAAATCAACACCTGGCAGCCTCTTAAGACTGGGCTGAATGCAAAAAGCATTCTTCCCAGGCTAAAATGCCAGACAAGAAAAAAGATCCAGTCAGGAGAGATGCATACATTTGTTTCCCGTTTCAATTGCATACAGCAAAGGAAGGAAGAACACCAATCTTTTCGTCTGATGACATCACTTTTTGCCTTAAGACTCTTTTGTGGTTAAGTGTCTACACTTATCTTTCTCTGTTATAAAAGAGGGCATTATTTTTTTCACAGGAAAATCAGATTTCAAGGGGCTATTTCTTAGGTTCTGTAGGATTGCTGTCTAATTACGGGGTGTGCCAAAATCACCAGGGGCAGAGGCAGATAATGCTGTTTACAATCAGTCACCAAGATGTTATAAAAGGTTCATTAAAATAAGCAGGAGACAGAACTAGAGAAATCTCTTGGCAGCAAGACAAATATTTGGCCCTTCAGGCTTTTCGTTGCCAGCCAAATAGCATCATACCATGAAGTTGTTCTTCTTATCATTATACTGAAAGGAAGGAAGAATTGCATTGATGCCAGGAACTATAGGAAGAACAGGCCAACATGACAATGAATTTTGCACTTACATGGAAATGATTATTCCAAACCTATAGGCATATCTACAGACAACAGAACACAGAAACTATTAAGAATTCGCTATTGACCATGTTTCTGCTACATTTAGTTTAATCAAGCGTCCTACAGCTCTTTCTTAGTAAAACAAAAATCCATAGAACAAAACAAGAAGTCAATTTTTTTTTTTTCTAATTAAATCTCCCCTAGCCAGTGGAGCAATAACAGAGGTTAAACCATTAGGTATGAGATTCAGTGGCTTTTTTGGTTGGTTTTTGTTTGTTTGTTTGTTTGTGTCTGCTTGTTTGTTTGTTTGGTCAAAGCTGTTTTTATCTCTTTCTTCAAAGTGACCACATTACTCGCTGGTACACCACCTATAATGAGAGTAGCAATGTAAAGATAATGTTCTCCACTGTTCATTGACCTTGTTGATCTGTTCAGTCACAGCATCTCTGAGAGTGGAAAGGACTCTGGAGATCATCTTGTCCAGTCCCAGCTCTGTTCAAAACATTGTAAACTACAGCAGATTGTCCAACACCATGTCCAATCAGGTTTTGAGTGTCTGCAAGGACAAACAACCTCTCTTGGAAACTCAATCCACTGTTTAATCATCTTCACATGGAAAAATTAAAAAAAAAAAAAAGAGAGAGAGAGAGAGATTTTTCCGTGAAGATTTCTCTCTCTCTCTCTCTTTCTTTCTTTCTTTTGGTATTTTTCTCTCTCATGTTCACTTATAATTGTATGTATTGTGGTTTGTGCCCATTGCCTCTTATGCTGTCACTGGACACTACTGAGAAGAGTCTGTTTCCATTTTCTTTTCTCCTTTTCCAGATCAGGTAAGATTCCCCTCAAGCTTTCTCTTCTCCAGGATAGACAGTGTCAGGTCTCAGCTTCTCCTCGTACAAAAGATGCTTAACTCCTGTGATCATCTTCACAGCCCTTTGCTGCATTTGCTCCAGTAAATCCAAATCTTTCTTGCCTTGGAAACCAAGAGCAGGACACACCACTCTAGACCTGCCCTCACCAGCACTGAGTAGCATCACCCCCACTGACCAGCTGGCAATGGTTTTCATAATGCAGCCCAAGGCACTGTTGTACTTCTTTGATGCAAAAGCCCACTGCTGGTTTATGTTTGTCTTGGTTTCTATCAGGGCCCCAGGTTCCTTGCAAAGCTGCTTTCCAGATGGTTGGCCCCAGCCCTGTGGTTATTCCTCTTCAGTTGCAAGACTTTACATTTCATTTTATTGAATATTCTTGTCAGTCCATTTCTCCAGCCTGTTCACATTTGTCTGAAAGAAAGCACAAGCACTTTGTGTATCAACCATTACACTCAGTTTTGTATCCTCTGCAAACTTGCTTAAGGTATACTTTGTCCTGTCATCCAGGTCGTTAATGAAGATCTTAAACAGAGATGGCCCGAACACCAGCCACAGTCATCACTAGTTAGTGGCTTCTAGCTGAACTCCTCTCCTCTGTTCACAAACTTCTGTGCCTGACACTTCAGCCAATTTTCAGAGACTGGTTCTGGTTGTTCCCCCTTTCACTGCAGGGTGGTAGCCTTCACCTGACAATTAACTAGACTCGTTTGGCTGAATCAGCAAAATGGGATGTATTCTAGATGAAGCCCAGTGTCATATGTTTAATATTTTGAATTAAACAGAGGATCAAACTGACCGTGCAAAATATGAAGTTCTCAGAGTTTTTCAGTGCTACAAAACACATGATTCTGTTTTCAGACTTCTGGATGTCTTGTCCCTGTGCAAGTCCTTCAAAGCTGTGTCTACTACTTGAAATAAAGCAGTACAACAAGCAGTGTGCTTATGAGATCATAACATCATTGCTGGCAATGCCAGCTTTTCAGTCCATCCAGACACTAAAAGACCAGTAAACAGTAACATTTAAGCCACGTCAGATCTTGAAAGTGCACACAAAAAAGCAAGTTCTAGAGAGTATGTCTGGTCAGTGAATTCCTTCTGTCTGGAAGTGATGAAATACATGGCTGTTTGGAAGGGTTTTCTTCAAGTAATGCAGGTATGAGAATTGGGTGTGAAAGTTGACTTCAAACCAAAACCATCAATCAAATGCTAAGGTATGAAATGATCCCACTTCTTTTTTATAGATGCTGCAATACAGTTACTGTATTTGAAACTTTTTCAAATCAGAAACTCCCAAACAGAAAAGAATGTCAATAAGCAGAAGGATTTGGTCCACGTTTTTGGAGGTAATGTCAGTAATAACCTGTTGTCCATGTTTAGGGCTTTCATGGGTGATGTAGAAAGATAGAAGAGATAGGTAATTTGTTAAAGGATTCTGAAACTTCCATGCTTTGAACAGTTTTCATGAACCCTGAAGCTACGGTATCAAACACTCTAATAAACAAAAGTGAAGAAAAATATTTGACTTCTTGTTTGGCAGTGTTTGCTTCAAAGACTACACTGGGTGGTAGTATGACTGTCTCTTCTTCCTCTATTCCTTCTCTACTTCTAGATATCCATCTAATGCATGTTCACGTATGTTTCCACCTTGCTTCTCTTTCTCTTCCATACTACTGCTTTGGGGCAGAAGACAGCATTTATTTTTTTATCTTCATTTCTCACTATCTTATAAAGCATTATGAAAAACAGAGACCGGCAAAATGACTTCTGCGTGTTATGTAGCCAGTCCCCACCAGGGAGCTTGGGTGAAAGTGCCAGATGCCAAGGAGCAGCTCAGACTTCTGTGATCCCTCTGATCCCCTCAGCTTCTCTGCAGAAACTGGGAACTCTAAGAAATGGCAGTGGGCAGGCTAACAAAAGTAATGCAAATCACCCTGACAGCCAAACCCTTTATTTGAGAGAACCACCTGGTCGGGTGAGGGATTGTCCTCTAACTACATTTTCCAGACAGTTTCCTTTGGCAATCAGAGCGGGTGGCCTGAGAAGAATGCTGTACTGGGCCACTTGGTGAGATGGGAAAGTGGAAGGTGAAATGCAGCTTATTTCCCCATGCTCAGAGGCTTGGTGGAAATCTGGTTGGCAGTAGTCACAGCGTGCCTACTTGTGGAGCTGATGCCACATGGCAATCTGTCTTCTGGGGTTCCTCAGCATTTCTTCCCAGTGGTTCCTCTCTGTGCCTGTGACATGCAAACCCAGGCTGCACTTGCCGAGCACTTGGCTTTGCCCGGCACCATCCTGGCTCAGAATTTCCAGCTCCACACTAGAGGCACGTAGCAGCTCGTGAGGCACCTCAAACATGATCATCTCATTCCAGACGGGGTTGATCTTGTGCTTTGCACGTTTGGTCTGCTTCTTCTTCAGCTTCAAGGACTGATGCCTCAGGGTCACCTTGACAGAAACGTCTACAGAGAAATCAGAGAGACTGTATTAATGCACATTTAATAATATGAATGCCAGAGAACTTTAACTATTGACAACAGGCTGAGTAAGAGAAATATGAGAAACACTGATCTTGGAGTTTTTAGGTTTCCCTTTTAAAAAATTGTTCAAACCTCTTTAGCTTTCTAAGTCAACTGTTTTTTTTTCTAGTGAACACCATATTTCCCACTTTATTTCTATATTTACTTCATAGCAGAAACAATAATCTCAGTTTTTCTTGCTATTCCACTCACCATTTCCAAGTAGATCTTTCAGCTGCTTGGAATGGAGATTTTTAGCCTTAATAATCACCACGAGCAGGCGGTTTGCAGCTGGCAGATAGCTGATAGAGAGCAGAACTTCCCCATAGCCTGTAGATGGCTCCTGGAAATTGAGATGTATAAAGAGTTAATTTTGTATGCAATCTAGGTCTAACATTAGGAAAACTAAATAACACAAGATGAATTTAAGGTCATAGACTGATCAAACTGTCTCCCCATCTCAGTACAGGAGACTTATCCAGTTAAATTGGATCAGATCAAACCAGGCAGGATATTCAAGTAATCTTGTTCATTACAGGGACCAGAACACAATGATTACTCCTTTCTTTTGCTACTGGAAAGCAACTGAGGGAAATTTAGGTTAGATGTTAGTATGAAATTCTTTATTCGAAGTGTGGTGAGGCACTTGTACAGACTGTCCAATGAAGCTGAGGATGCCCCTTTACTGAAGGTGGATGGGGCCCTGGGAAGCCTGAGCTGGTGGTGACAGCACTGCCCATGGCAAGGGGTTGGAACTGAGTGGGCTTTGAGGTCCCTTCCAACTCAAGCCTTTCAATGATTCCATGAACTACATCCTAACAGCTATTTCCAGTGGAATATTTGATCGGAAGAGAATTTGGGGCTGAACTCTGTGTAAGTATTCCATCATTTTGTGAGAGACTATCTAGCTGTCCTTGATTTATATCCCCTACTTCCATTACTGCTCTTTTTAATTCACTCATCACTTCTGTGAGGGGTCTCTGAGCAGACATGGTCCCAGGTCTCCACTGCTTAACTGTCAGGCTGTCTGGGAAAGAGTGGGTGAAGCGTTGGCTTGTGCCACTCAGCTACCCTGGAGCTGGAGTTGAACCTTCTTTGTCAGCCTTATCTGGTGGTAGAAAAAACAACAGCCATCCTAAAATCAGCTCAGCACAGTGCTCTACTCTTCCTCTGTTCTGGCTTCCCGGCAGTCCATGCACAGCTGTTCCTGTTGCCTCAGTGGGATTAACCTCGGGGCAAATGCTCTGAAAAATCAAGCATTCACTTCATGGGGCCAAATGTATTTTGGTTTTGGGTTCTTTGATTCCTTTCTTCCCATTAGCAATTGTCCTCTTATCCTCCTGACCTTTATTCTGCTCTCTCCCTTGTGCTGTACAAATATCCCTGAAGGCAGAAAAAGAGGAAAATGACCTCTCATCAGCTGAGCTTGCTTTGGAAAGCAGCACCTCTGCCATGCGAGGAAGGAAAGGAATTGCCCGCCGTGCTTGCAGAGCTGCAAGCCTACGGTGAGGGCAAGACGGATGTAGTTACTCTCCATAAGTGCAAGATTGTGACAGAAATCTGTTTTAGTGTGAGGTTAATGACCCAGAAGAGACACAGAAGCCAATGTCAATTCAATAGACTCCCTTTGGACTCCTTAGTGTGATCTACAAGCTTTAGGATGGACAGCCCTCCTCTAGGCCATTTCTGTGCTCTCCACTTGCAGTTCTAAGTGAGCCATAAATATTTCAAATTAAGTTTTCAGCGGGTTACTTCCAACAGGCAAGGACAAGCCCTCTGTATGCTTCCCGTGAGGTGACTGACTCTCCAGAAAGCACGGCTGTCATCACTGTCTGGTTTGAATGACTTATTTGTCGTGCACAACTCAGGTGGGAGGCCATTAGCAAGGAAGCCTGAAATTCAATCCCAGATCAGTCTGAGTAAATCTTCCTTCATGCACTCAGGTAGCAACAAAGGGCTTGTATATGTTTCATTTAAACAAATCCTAATTGCCCTAAATGCAAGTACACCCTAAGAAAGAAACACAAAAAGAGGCAGATTTAAATGGCTATGTGTCCCTGACAAATACAAATATCACTTTAATACAAAAAATAATTTTGGCAAGTTATGAACTGCTTTTGTTTACATATCCACCCTGTTTCTCACAAAGTCTCATTCTGTAGCTCTTGGCTAGAAGCTGGTTGCTCTAGCCCCATGCATTGGCAAATGTTGTAAAGGCTGAGAGGCTGGGTGCTGCAGTGGGCTGTAAATGCACATGCACTCGTGTGCACATGCACTCACTGTGCACACACGACACATGTTGTGGTCATGGCTTTTTGGCCTCTAATATTCTGATCGAGTTCTTGACCACCCTGTATCCACATGAAACCAAAACTGTAGTAGTTGGTTTCTGCTGAAGATTCGCATGAAGAGTCTGAGCCAAAGGTTCTTTTCCTTCTCCCTCTTTCTGTGCACTGAGGATAAGAGGCATCAGGGGGTCAGTGGTGAGTTACTGTGCAAGGCACCATGAAATCACAAAAGGAAAGGTGCTATGCAAGCAACCACTATCATCACTGTCATTAGCAAAGCAGTGGGAGGGAAGGAAGACAAGATAAGGACATCAGTCTGCAACATCTGTGATTTGCATTGCTCACAGCGCTCTGTGAATTCCTGAATACTAATTACATTACCTGGTTAGCTGCAAGCTCCCCTCTGAGATCTTTCCCTTCTGTGGGAGAATTAGAAAGAGGATAGGAATGAAATTTCTGTGGCTCACAGCTTTTCAAGGAAATGTCAGACTTTAAACAAAGCCCACTAACTTTGTTCCTGGATGGATGCTGTCAAAAATAGCTGCTCTTTTTTGATCAGTTCTTCCTCACTGCCTCCTCCTCTGGTTCTGAATGAATGATTCAGGATCTGTATATAAGCTATTTGTGCAAGGGTTGGCTCTCTCAGGTCCCAGATGACGCAAATTCAGCTTTCACTGCACATCCTCAGCTCAAACTGGGGCAGTACGGTCCAGCAGTACAGTTAGTGCTAACCTTGCACTGTCAGCCTGGAGTAGAAATGAGTGCTGTCCTGTTTCTGTGTGTACCCAGAGTACCCAGTATGCCAGGACTCTGCCAGGTGTACATGAGTGAAAACCAACCACCGCTGTGAACTGGTTGCGAATTGAGTATTGTTTACAAAGTGGATATTGCAGTAGACTGGGAAGGATGGAGGGCTCTATTTATCATGGTTTAGAGATTTATGTAATTATGACTTTCATGAGAATAATTTCTTTTGGACCTCCATTTTTTTCAGCAGCAAAAACTTGACAGATCTTCTGCCCTTCCCTCAGCCAGAGGTTTTTCTTTAGTGTAGAGTATGTTGCTATCAGGTGCCCTACCCACACCGGGCTCTGCTGAGGCACAACCTAGCAGCTGAACTTTTGCTACCACACAGTCCCTGCATTGTTTACACACAGAAACGCACGTAACTTCCAGACATAGGCTTTCAATTGCAGATATCAGCATCAGATTATCATATAATTGAGGGAGGAGGAAAGGGAGTTTTAACACATCTTAAATTCCAGGAGCTGTAGACAAAGGGGCTGGGCTGATGGGCTTTTGATTGCTTTCTGAAATGGTTAAGTCAGTACAGAGTTCTACTACATCACCTTTGCAATCACACATTGCCTTTCCAAACTGGGGTCCGGATGCACGGAGCCACCCACCCCTGGATGTGCAGCTGTATTGGAAGAGGGATTCTCTTGTACATACAATAACTAGAGCCTCTGGATTAGCACACAGACTGAGTCCGTACCTTCTCTGGAGTCTTTAGCCTTTCCCACTGGCCCATCCCGAAGTCCTCCATGTTAGCAAGGCTCAGTTTAAGTTCTCCCACAATGCTGTGTCTGGAGAACTTGTCGCAGTTTCTCAGGGTAAGAGTCAGTGTCCCCTCTTGCATCTCCTCCTCAGTTAATGGAAACCGCAGGGCCTCCTCCCAGAGGGTGTGAAGCACCTTCTTCTTCAGCTCTGTCTGGGCTTCAGTCATGCCAGATTTACTCACCAGTGTGCCCAGTATGTAGCAATGGCAGCCAGCATCTTGGTCACTACTCATTTTGCCATGCATAGCTGGAAAGGAAAGATTGACTGTAAATACCTTTCACAAAGCATAGTCCTGAAGAAGTCCAAGTAGAGAATCATCAGTAGCAGATTTCTGCCTCTTACCTTCCAGAAGGGCCACACACAGCTCAGCTTTTTGTTGATCATACGTGAGGGAATAGCGCAGTTCAGGGACCTGGTTACAGCTGGCTGCCCGCTCGGGCTTCAAATGCTCCGTGACACACACATCCTTTACCACACCTGGAACTGAAGTAACCCCATTAGCAAGGAAGTCTTTTCCTTCCAGGATAGACAAATCCATCTTGTCTTAATTCTTCTATATGGTTTACTATTCTTGTAAGTTGTACGCAGGAATATCATTTCTGTTCCTTCTTCCCTTATCGTATCTCCTTGCTGCCTTCTCACACATTCAATTCCTTCCACAGCACTTGGACAAGCTTCCTGCTCCCTCCACCAACCATGTGTTCTAAGATGGTTCACACATTTGCTCTTTCACCTTGTGCCAAAGCCAAGGTGCCTAAACTATTTGCTTGTTACTGTATTGTTTTATATACATTTTTTACACACGTTTGTGTAAAAAACCCTTGTGGTTTTTTTTTAAATGCGAATTTGAGCCTGCTTTAGAGCTACCATACAACTCGGCATTAATTCAGGCCTCTATAACCTTTTTTAAAATTTATGTTAACACTACAGTCTTTGTCATGCAGAAAGCCAATGTGACATCTATTCCCATGGCACTTAACCATACTGAGGATAGTGAGCTTGGGAAGGTGTGAGGCAGTTTATCCATGTATGATTTTGAAGCTGAGAACACATTGCATACTGAAATAAAGTAAGAGGCAAGACTAAAAGGGAAGCCGCATCTTTCTATCATCAATATCTTTTATCTGTAAGATCTGTTCTTACTCACATAGGAAATAATAGAGGGACTGCACATTTCCTTCAAAAAAATCTCAGCCACAGTCAGTTCAGTGTTGCACAAAAAGGAGAATGCAACATGTCTTGTTTTATTTCAGTAATATGAAATCAGGTGCAGCAGGAAGCAGATTTGTGCCATTAGCAGTGCAGAGGGGCTCTTACACCAACACACTTATGTAGAGCTTTAATCCACATGGTGCCATCATCTTTCAGGCTCTACACCTTATGACTGTCTTCCTGACACCAGGGATGTGTCTCAGTCTTTTCTTCTAATGCAACTGCTTCCCATGTGTAGTGGAAATGCTAAGTCAAGGCCTGAACCAGTGATTGAGCACCTGGTGGGAAGGCAGGGCCAACCCAGGGGAGCTCAGGTGTATGCAGTGTGCCTAAGTGACTGGAAGGGCTGGAGCCAGGATCCACCCCTTCCCAGACCCCATTTAAGGGTTGGCAGTAGAAGCATGGATGTCTCACTGGAGATCTTTTCCTGCCTGAGGTCTTCTAAAGGTAAGTAGGCTTTCTTCTTT